ACTTCTTAATTAAATGCAAGTGCATAAATAATTAAAACCATAATTGTTTCTGTTTATACACATGTACATATCTAAATATACATTCCTTTGTGCTTTGCAAACTAACTGTCAGCTGTTATATGTCACGTAGGCAACGACAGCCAGTAGGAAATAATTGAAAAACATAAAAGGAGTGAGACGATCATAGGAGTTAGTGACAAAATAGTTTTTAAAAGCGTTCGTTCCATCACTCAATTAATAAATATACAGTAATCATCTCTGTAACGCAGTGCCCTTATAACGCTTTTTCATATTACGTGATTTCAATCCCTCGCATAACATGGGCATTCCCCCTATATAACGCGGCAATTTTCCACATACATATTTCTGTATTGTTAAATTTATAGTGATATTCACGTGTAAAAGATTCGTTAATACCAAAAACAGAAAAATGTTTGATGATTTGGGTTATACGAGGTCGTAAAAACGCGTTATACGAGAATACACCTAATACGCGTTTTCCTATAACGCGGAACGAATCGACCGCGTTGTTAACTGGTTGTTAAACTTTGCCAGTTTGTGCCTATTTATGGTGTCAGATTTCCATCTTGTACACGTTGCGTGAGCATTGTGATTATTTTGGTGTTTATAAGCAATTGTTCTCGTCTCGTTTGTATTTATTAGCCTACTCGCCTTGTGCACAGTTCTCTAACCATCAAATTTTCAGTTGTAGGCTAAAAAAACCTCTTTAGGCATTTATAAAACACTCACTCGTTACAAGATGCAATATTATAAGTTTTTGGGAAGAAATATTTGAAAAATGTAATAAAATAAAAATTTCGTCTCAACGACACAAGCGATTCAATTAAGAAGAAAACCACTGTAACAACTTAAGAGAAAGCTTTTGTTTGGCCTTTTTTTATAATCATCATCGAAAGATGAGGGGTATATTCATTTCGTTCACAAGTTTGCAACGCCCAGAAGGAAGCTTCAAAGATCTACTACAGACACTATATATATTCTTGATCAGTATCAAATTCTGAGCAGATTTAAGCAATCCGTCGCTGTAATGACTGTTGTTACTTTTTCCCTGGCCGCAAAAATGCTATCGACTTCAGTAGAAATATTGAAAGTTCATGCACGCACGTTGGTATTGAAAATAGGCCAAACCGGTCCAAAGACATGTCTATAGTACCATGTAAACGGAGAATGCCTCTGTTTTTCAAGGGGGATCAAAAATTGGTTTTTTACTCATTATTCATCAACTACAGCAGATAAATCTACAAAAATCGAACGTATTATCTGTGGCTGATGCTGTAGCACCTAAACAAAAAAGAGGAAAAATTGACCATGCCTATCCAATACAATAGTGTATCAAAATTTAATTTTTTCCAACATCTTTATAATTCGCAGAAGCAAACTTCAAAAATCCCATAAAATATATGAATTCTTAGCCAGTTCCAACATCTGTCCGTCTGTAAGTCCGTCCATTTATCTGTCTGTCAAACTGTTAAGGATCTGTGGCACACATTCTCCCCTTCGCAAAAACCAACATATCGCGTAGGAATTTGTAAAAGATTTCGAAAATGACCCGGGCCGTACAAAGGACATGCCTACAACGCTTACATGTCCATGCAACCAAAACTGAGAACACATTTGCTTTCCGTGTCTTTTGCTCGTTGCTCATAAACTACAACAAATATACAGTATAAATTTCCACAAAATTTAATTTCCAAAAATAAAAAAAAATCGGCCACGCCCACCCAATGTTTTGGGATAAGCAAATTTATTTTTATTTCCATTTGTTCAATCTTTTATAAGGTAACAGGGATTGGTATATAAGATTCGGTTGCGAACGGTCTTTGTTGTTGTTTACTTTGTTTTTTTTTCCTTCTAGTTTAATGTATTTATTTATGTTTAATTTATACTGTTTTTCTTTGTGAAAATGTGGTTCAAATCATTGATTAGTTTGTACTCGTTCTGGCGGTTGCTCAGCCCAGCTATACGTATAATGATAAGAAAGGATTTTTTCTTCTTAAGCTGCATCCGTCTTTTCTCGATTTCGCTACTGAGCCCACCCGAATGACGCTGAGTAATATGCGCGATTAATTGGACTTATCGCTTTAGTATTTCTAAGAGGGTCGATCAAGATTATAACAAGTGCTTTCTAAATAACATTGATCATGAACTCTATGCGTAAAATGTTTATGCCGTTTGGCCGCATAAGAGCAATTCCAACCTGTAAAATCCATTCTTTACATTCCTCACGTAACTCTTAGGTGCATCTGTGCACGACAATTTTATTTGCGGTCTCTTAATGGCGAAAATGTTCAGATTATTTGCTCTTAAATGTATCAAAATTCCTCCTTGAAGCGATTACGCGAATGCTATTTGACTCGGTGATGAGAGAGGCGGACGGGAGCTTTTGTGCACCTGATATCATATGTACATGTTTCCGTAAAATGTTTACAGCCGACGCACTTTCAACTTTGGCTCGTTTAAGATCATATCGCGTATAAATTTTTGAATTCTCTTTGGAGTTGTAATCTCAAGGGGTGATATGGACACTTCTGCATCGGTTAGTTCTGCATTTAGAAGCCAGTTTAATTTCAGCTATTATGCATTTCAGGGCTCTATCTAGTGGAGTGGATCTTTTCGTTGTTTTTATCTCAAAAAAATATTGCCCAAGTGCTAGACGATGTTCACTTTTTTCACGGGGAGGTAAATAATTGTAAAGATTGTTTAGTTTCGATAAGAATCAAATAAACTTACTGAAGATCTTGGAATTTTGGATGTGATTTAAACACTTTTGTTTATAGGTTTCTCTCTCTGTAGGCGTTTTACTCATTGCCGCCACTAATAGGAATAATAATGTTTATGTATAAATGTTCAATTTCTCGTTTTCGTTTTTCAACCTCTTTTCTTCTTTCAAACAGTCTGTAAACTTTATACGATTTTTGTCGAAAGTCGGAAAAAGCATTTTCTTTATTTGCTCGCATCGACTTAGTGTTGGCAAACATACTTCAATTTATTAAATTTTTAAAAACATGCTAATAATTAAAATGGGAATTTCTTCACTTCAGCATTCACTGCGTTCAACGAAGACTAGTTCTTCTTCTATATAGGTTTGAATGGTATGCAGTCAAGTTTTTGCGTTTTATGCTTCCATTTATGCTACGAATTTACTTTTCGTTCTCTTTAACATGTAAATAACTCCACAACTGTTACTCTTGCCTAAAGCCTCTTCAGGCGATAAATATGAACTCTCTGAGTGAGGTTTGAACTCTTCTCTACGCACCGTATTTTACAGGGCTTTCTTCTCCTAATTTCTTTTGGCTTTGTTACGACTTTGGTTGTTTCCTGTTCGCGGAATTTCTTTAACTCAAAAAAATTTCTTAATAATGTCTGTTTTTATTTGAGTAAAAAGGAAAAGAGAAGAATAATCGCAATGTAACCGCAATCGCACTACGGATACCATGCGTATATCTCGCTTCATGACCTCAATGCTTTTCTCCATTACTCACCTTTTCGTATTTTTAATTCGAGCATGTCGTTATTTTCTGTATTTAGATATAATATTTACTGGCATTCGTTCTTGATCGATTTTTCCTAAATCCTTTGATCTGCAGAACAAAAATTTGATCAAACTCGAATATTTGAAAAGATTGGCCAAAAAGTTCTACACAAAGATATAATGGTTTGTATGACAAGAAAGTCATTAGTCTTTTCCCTTAATTTTCTCTTTGAATTTATCTTCTTATATCACATTCTATAAGTTCCATCTTGATAGACACGTTTTTTCGACAACAAGCAGCATAGCATTCAAAATTTTTACTACTTCATCATTGTTCGACAAAAGCTATACCAATTCTTATATATATTTGTATTGCAAAAATCCGTAGATAGCTCGACGAATGAATAATATTTTAATTCTATTGTGTCCTCTGTAACACGCGCATTGAAAGTATATTCCCAAAAAATTAATCATATTCCCGATCGACATAAGATCTTTGCTACGACTGTAGTCCTTTAGTGCATATCCTATGATTGCAGAAAGGTACCAGAAAAGCTTAAGCGTGCCCTATAAATTACATTTTTAGTTTAGGTGAACAGATCGATTCCATTTGAGGGTATAAGACTAATCGATTGAAAAGTACGACGAATATTCAACGCGAATATTCATTAGAATTTAAACATTACTCCAAAAGCGAATTAACTTTGCACAATCCGTCGTTCACATTAAATTTATTATATATATATATATATATATATATATATATATGTATATATAAGAATACAATTCATCCTTTATAGATGCATATGCGCACACGCATATATGTATATATATACATACATTCTAGTGATGAGTGGTGCCAAAAGCAAAAACTGCAAAAACTAAAAAAAAAAAAAAAAAAAAAAAAAAAAAAAAAAAAAAAAAAAAAAAGGAATGAAAACTAATGTACTTGACATCACCCAGGCATGCAAGCATGGATACTAAAGAGATTCTGATATGTTGCAAGCAGCCTCCGTTTTCGAATCTTGGGTATAAAAACTTTCTTCTTCTCATTTAAAAGGGCGACGTCTGCGTTTTGGCGACAAAGCTGACATATTTCTGTGCTATTTTCAGAGACAAAACGGAATATAACGCGATCCCCCTTTACAATCCCTTTCTCAAGTGCGCCAACAGAGAATGATAATAATAAAACTAGACAAGTATGTAAATGAATGAAAAATAATTGAAATGTATACTAATTGGATGATGATTTTTGTTGCGTTGTTTAGTTCGCAGAGGAAGTACAGACTAGACAATCCAACATATGGACAGACATATTTTCACTTATTCACCCAAAATGTACGAAAATAAATGCACTTGAACGTTACTTGTTATTCTTGTTGTTGTTTTTTTTTGTTTTTTAGTATTCCGTTGATTTAAATTAACCTTGAGCTAATTACATATGCACGGCACACATAAAAGACAAAAATTTATCTATGAGCATGTATACGTGTGTGATTACTTTCAGTGTATGGTTAAGCAAAAATCATTGCCAACGGGGATTGATAGCTGCAATTAACTGAAACATGTCGATGTAGTATGTGGCATGTGTTCAAACTAAGAGGGAAAGTCAGCTGAAGGAAAACTCAAGACCAAAACTCAGCTCTCAACGTCAACGTAACACGCCGCCATTCATATTCTGTAATTGATGGAGGAGTAAAGAAAAATGCCTACGTCGGCCTGGCCGGTAAAACATATTGAAATCTTAAAATCTATATTGACGCTCGTTGCTGCAACCATTTCGCCGTCGTCGTCGTCGTCGTCGTCGTCGTCGTTCATGATAAACACTTCGGTAAATGTATGTCTGTTAGAGGTGTATCGAAGTTGTCAGTGCCAATTGTTCACAATCATTATTGGATTGAATAGGCGCAAATGTGCGTGTGTTTTATAAGGTGGTGGTATGTCATCATGTTAAATCGACAAGAGGAGAAACTGAGCGTACAAGAAAAACAACGATTTGAAATATCCTTGACTTCCAAAGCAGACGTTCCAAATAAATTAACAAAATCCTTAACAAAAACTGTTTGCTCGTCTTTCTTGCCCTCTACCGCCATTCCCGTCGCCCCCGTCACCTCCGCCTTGTCGATGTCCCCTTTTCCTCACTCCTTCACTTATAAAACTGATGCAGCTTTAGTTCTCAACATTTGCTGCAGTTTGCCCACACTTTATCATCATTCTTATCCCGGGCTGCATAACGCTCCGCATTACATGTGCCGCTCTCAATTATATGAGGTGCCAACAAAGCTCTCCCTGCTGCCAAAAGTAATTAGCAACATTCATGAAGGTGATCAAAAATATTTGGCTGACGTAAGGCGCTGCTGTCCGCCGCCCATTTTCATCATATTAATTTCGTTGTTGGAGGTAAGTCTCGTTATAATTATATCATCAATTGTCATGCAGTTCCAGCCGTATATTAAATTATGCCAAAAAAAAAAAAAAAAAAAAAAAAAATGATTCAATTTATTGCAATAAGAGAGTGAACAAGTTATTCAGACAGTCCGTCAGTCATTCATCGATACCGAAAATCAGCTGTCAACTCATCTCCAGCCATCCTAACTAATGAACGCATCAATTCGCCACTTGGGTGGCTTTAGAAAATAAAGAGCAGTTCAAGGCTTAGTTTCGTTTAGCGTTCAGCACACACAGGCAAAATCAGGCAAAGGCAGGCAAAAATGCTGCTGCATTTTACTTATACGAACACATTTCGTAAGCCTTAGTGCGTATAAAAATACTTTCCTATATGTATGTCAGTTTAGTTAAATGTGTATCAATTGTATGCATTACAAATGTTGTATAAATTTACAGATGATGTGTGCATATACTGTGCGCCATCGAACCAGCATCGATCGTAACATGTGGGGGCTGTATTATGCAAGTTCAATGAATTCTTAAACGAAGAATCGAATGAAGAACATAAACGTACGTACGTACGTACACGTTTACGCAAAAAAGTTTATTGGTTAGTCGAAGTTAGTTGGTTGGTTGGTTGGTTGGTTGGTTTGCCTTTAGTTACGTCTTTTCTTTCTTTTTTAAAATTTTTATTTTTTTAATTAGGCCGGTCTTCCTAAATGTTAATAACGATGTCGATTGGAAAGTAAAAGTTATGTAAAACTGACAAAAACCACACACCACACACCACACGCACCACAGTTTACTTTCAGTCAAAAGTAAGAAAAGATATACTATGTGACTGAATGCCTTGGCCGCCTGCTGCGGTTTACGTATTGACCAATTGATAGAACGCATTCAATTTACTATTTTGTTCGATAGCATACGAGATCAATACAATCAGTATTTTGGCTTATGAAAAATTCGTTTTCGTTCTGTTTTCTTTTTTTTTTTTTTGCTTATTCCTCAATAAAGTCCTACACATTGCTTAAATATTTTTGAAGTCATCTTCTTCTTCTTTATTTTTGGTTGCGCTTTCGTTATTTAAAATGATTCACGTTTCGCCAAGTTTTCATTTCATATTTAAAAAGGGATGACATCATCTTCTCTGCGCTGTATGAAAGTGAATTTACATAAAGAAAATCAAGATTATTTTTATGCGGATTTTTACATAAGATACTGCACATTTTAAAGTTTATAAAAACATTTTATTCTAATTTTTATAAAAAGGTGCTCTTGAAAAACACTGTTTTTTCTTTCTTTTTTTTTTTTTTTTGCTGGCCTTCTTTTGCAGCACAGGTCACAATTTTGCATTTACAGCGAAAAACTTAAAGTCCGCAAAGATTTCTCAAAAAATTGCTTGATGGAATCGGTTTGAAATTTTTCTTTTTTATGTTTATTTATTTATTTATTTTTTTTTTTTTTTTGAGCTTACGGTCTAACATCGACTATTTTAATTTTATGAAAAATCTAACAATGGTCTCTGGAGAAAGACACATTTAAATCCAGCATTTCGAATTTCAAAAGAATTGGGTAAAAAGCGTAGACACCAGCGATCCGGGAAACTCGAAATATTGAAAGCTCTCAGCGTCAGCTTTAAAGAAGTTCTTATGTCATCCAAGTACTTGTACTTAAACTTATTTCATCTCCAAATGTGTACTAAGCTATCCAGTAAATTTGAAATATCGATTCAAGTCCTAATCAAAAATACATAGACTTTATGGAGTCTCCAAAATCTCCCGGGCGTAGCAGGTGTCCTGCCAAAATGAATTTACCCTCAAAATGAGTTACCATAACGGGAAAAATTCATTGAAGTATATAGAGTTTACTATTAAGGCTACTACTGAAAGAAGGTTTTTAACGTTAAGGTACCGCTCACACAGAAGAAGAAAATGTTTTCCATACGGAAGTATTATGAAATAATATCTTATTATCATCCATTTGTTATAGTTATAGTTATAACACTACCGCCTTACTACTCACAAGCAATGAGAATATTTTCAATTCATTATGTAAAAAAAAACTGAGCTCTTACTTTGGTGAAGTGTGGAAGGCGGAAAATACAAATTTCTCCCAGAGTTACTTTAAAAGTTTAAAACGCGATTAAAATTTTAATAAAAGCTTAATTTTCCGAAAGGATCTGTATCCCACACCTAACTCGTACAAGTTTCATCCTTCTTATGCGAATTTTCGCAATTTCTTTAAAATAACATTTCGTAGGCGATTTTCGATAATTCAATTTAAACGTTGCCTATTATATAAATGGTTGCATTTAAACTATCGACAATTAACGAACAAAAGCAAAATTTACTATTTCATCATCCAACTACTCGTCATTCACACAAAAATTCATGATTTTAAAGTATTCCGCGCGTTTCTTTCGTTATAGATATGTATGTGTGATTGGCGCGGGGGCGCAGGCCTCGCATTTTTATTTTCCATACTTAAAAGTACGCTTAATAACCTTTTAATTTATTTTGATTCTATTGCATTCGAATCCAAAAAAAAAAAAAAGGAAAGAAGTAAGAAAATAAGATTCGCTCCTTACCTGGGCTTTATGATACACTGTGTGGGCGCGGCTGATTTTTGCAATTTTCAGAATAAAAATGGGATTTTGTGTGATGTTTTTGTTGCGCTTTATTGTTACCAAGACCAAAAACCACGGAAAGCAGAAGTGTTCACTGTTTTTCCTATATAGACGTGTGGGCGTTATAGGCGCGTTCTTTGAATTGTTTAAATTCTTTCGCAAGTTTATTGGCGATATCGTCATAATTCAAACTAATGAATACACACTATAGATATTGTACAGTTGCGCAGATGAGCAGATGAGAAGATGAACAGATAAACGGACGGACATGTTTAGGTGCATTGCAAATTTGAAACTGACTACGAATTTATATACGTTAATTATAATACTTTTGAAGCTTGTTTCTGTGCGTTATGAAGGCTTTGAAAGCAAAATGAAATTATGACGTACTATAAATTTGGGTAGGCGTGGGCGTTTTTCTTCAATTTTTTTTTTTTTTTTTTTTTTAGATACTACAGCATCACTCATAGAGTATACGAGTATACGTTTATCTGCTGTTGCTTATGAGTAATGAACAAAAAATCATATTTATTTTTCCTTTTAAGAAACAGAGATGTCCTCACTTTGCGCGGTACTGTAAGCGTGCTTTTCGACCGGTTTCGTCTATTTTCAATATCATATTGCGTGTAAGAGTTTTTAATGGTTTCTGATAAATATGAAATCGATAGTTTCACTTTTGCGGCAGGAGAATGCTTAAAACAGACATTATATAGACGGACAGACGGATATGTTTAAATCAATTCAGTACTCGATTATGAAGTCTATGAAATTTCCTTCTGGGCACTGCAAACGTTTTGACAAACTGAATGACTTAAGCTTCGGTGGTGGGTATAAAAAGAAAACACTTTCTTTAGGGCGTTTGTCGTTAACCCTTATACCTATTTATTGGAGCCAAAATTCTTACACTTGGTCCATATTTAATTCTGAACTTTTGAAAGTATGAAAAAGTACATTTAACATACATTGTTTGCTACGATTTTGTAATTTTAAATATTCTCCCATCGCGTCATAATTGTGCGTTAAAATGTCTGACACCAAGTCCCTTCTGCCACTTGCGTTCAATTGACACTTGTGTTGCGATTCTCCTTTTTCCATCAGCAGTTAAGTTGAACTTTATTTTAATCACGTTTTAATTTTTGCTTTTTTGTACTCACTTGCGCTGAAAATGAAAATTATGTTATGAAGAATATTTAAGTTTCTTTTTTTTTTTTTGTGTAATTTTTGTTGCCTTTCATTTTAATCATCGGAATACTTAATGTTTTAGTTGAAGTATAGTTGAAAATTATTTTTAGTTTGAGAGTTTTTTTTTTTTTTTCGTTTTTTTTCCTTTCAAAGAATGTTTTCCTATTCGAAGTGTTGGCATTAAGTGACAGTTTTTCACACACTGTTGACAGGTATCAAAAAGTCATTGAAACGAATTTCTGATAGCAGCCACTCAAATGAGACATTTCCGTTCGTGTTTACCCATACTGTCGTATGGAGTATGGAAAACGGCAGATAAAGTATGCTTTTTGCGCAAATTTCTATTCGATAACTTTTTTAAGGCAAACAACATTTACAATAAAACTTATTTGCTTTGCTATGTTGATGTATTACGAAGTGATATTAAAGTCTTATCGCACAAATACTTAATACACCTAGAAATTCGTAACGAAACTGAACCAATTTCAATAAATTCCTGCCGGGCGAAATCATTAATCACAAAGGACTTGCAATACAACCGCAACAAATCTAAAAGTAATTTCATCTCTGTTCTCTAGAACATAGCCACCTATACATTTATTATACATGTAACTCTAAGTATAAACTTTGTATATAAAGTGTATATATATATATATATATATATATATATATATAGTACTTTACATGTTACACTGTGAACTCTTCATCAGACGAAAGGAATAAAAAACAAAAAAAAAAAAAAGAAAACAACATTCAATGTGTACATTTGTTGTTGTACTTTCTGCATAGAAACAAATGGAAAAAGTTTTCTGTTTAAAATGGATACGATAGCCAAGTCTGGCAAAACTAATGGATATAAGTTTACGATGAATGGGAAGGAAATGTAGTACATATGGGTTTGTATTTGTGCGAAGGGAAAGTCTCCCTTCGATTTCTTTTAACACACGTAACTTAAAAAGGCAAATAAGAACAATAAAAACAATAAAAAATCAAAGAAACAAACAACAACTGCACAAATGTGTAAAAATATTTTGGCGAGACATAAAGTCAGACACTGAAATTGTTCCATAATTGCTTAGCACAGTAATTTTCTTTCTATGTCGTAGAATATAAATAAAATTGTGAAAGACAGACACAGACCTAACAGTCTGGCAGTTGGTAAATATATTTTTTATATATATATATTTATATATATATATATACT